TTAGTGCTTAGAGATCTTGGATCATTTCATATTCAAGGAACCCAAAATATGACTTGCCAGAGCCTTGGCTCTGTCTGACCTGAGCCACCCCAAATATATGGGTATTATTGTCATTCTCACAGTTTTTTTAAAAAGGTGTGTCTGCCAACTTGCTTAGTAATGAGGTCACCTTCTCAAGCCAGGTAATTAATTTTTAAAAAAATAAACTTTATTTGATGTATTTTTTTAATGTTTATTTTCGAGAGAGGCAGAGACAGAATGCGAGTGGGTTAGGGGCAGAGAGAGAGGGAGACACAGAATCCGAAGCAGGCTCCAGGCTCCGAGCTGTCAGCACAGAGCCCGACGTGGGGCTCAAACTCACGGACCGTGAGATCATGACCTGAGCCGAAGTTGGACGCTCAACCGACTGAGCCACCCAGGCACCCCAATAAATGTTATTTTTATAATCATTTTGGATTTACAAAGAAACTGAAAAAAATAATATAGGGAATTCCGAGAGGTACACACGCTCTGTGCCCAGAGTCCCCTTATTAACATTAGTCTCAGGTAATTTGTCACAGCTCTTGAACCAGCAGTGACACAACATTACTTTACTAAGGTCCAGCTTGTCATTCATTCCATTTGAATGGTTTCACTCATTTTCCGTACTGATTTCCTGTTTTAAATTTCAATGATTACTGCTCGGTTTATTTTATTGTTTCCTGCTTACTTTCGTCTTAAATTGCCCTTCTTTCTCTAGTTTCCTACAGTGGGAGCTTACATTATTGACGTTAGACCTTTCTTATCTTGTAACACGTGCACTTAATGCTATGGATTTCCCTTGAAGCTCTGCTTTCACTGCATCCCAAGAATTTTGATAAATTGTGTTTTCATTTTCATTTAGTGCAAAACATTTATCATATCTCTTAAGACTTCATCTTTGACCCATGGGTTGTTTAAGAAAGTGTTGCTTAATTTCCAAACATTAGCGTTTTTCTAACTACCTTTCTGTTGTCTATTCCTAGCTTAATTCCATCATGATCTGAGAACATTCTTCGTCTGATTTCTTTTAAAAAAAAATTTTTTTTTATTCAGGTGTGTTCCATGGTCTCTTGATATATTTTTCATGTAAGCTTGAGAAGAATGTGTATTTTGCTGTTTTGGATGAAGAATTCTGTAACTGTCTATTAGATCCAGTTGATTAATGATACTGTTCAAATAAACTCTGTCCTTACTGATTTTCTGCCTGCTTGAAGTATCCATTACTCAAAAAGAGGAGCGTTGAAGTCTCCAACTATAATATCGGATTTATCTATTTCTCCTTGAAGTTCCATCCATTTTTGTATCTTGACACTGTGGCAAGGTGCATAAATGTTAAAGATTATTTTATCTTCTTGGAAAATTAACCCCATTATTTTTATGCAGTGCCCTGAAATATTTCCTTACTCTGAAGAGTTTATTTCGTCTGAAATTTATATAGCTATTCTATCTTTTTAAAAATTAATGCTAGCATTGATATACCTTTCTCTATCCCTTTACTTTTAATGAGTCTCTATATTTAGAGTGCGTTTCTTGTAGACAACATATAATTGAGTTTTGATTTTTAATCCATTTTGACAATCTTTGTCTTTTAATTCATATATGTAGACCATTCTCCCTTAATGCAACTCTTGATATATTTGACTTAATACCTACTATGTTTGTACCTATTTTTTATTTGTTGTCTTTATTCTTTATTTTCCTCTTTTTCTGCCTCCTTTGCTTTTAATTGGGTATTTAATATGGTTCCATTTTACCTCCTTTCTTTGCGTATCAACTATGCTTCTAATTTTTAGTGGTTGCTCTAGACTTTGCATTCCACATTTTTTTGCAATATACATTTTTGACTAATCTAAGTCAACCTTCAGATAACATAATGCCACACATCATGCAGACACTCTATAACAGAGTATCCCGATTCCTCCTTTTCATAAAAGATTGTATTCTATTTTCACGTATCCCTTTTCCAGCATCTTCTTTCTTCACGTAGATCTGAGTTTCTACATCCGTGTCAGCTTTCTTTTCCTTGAAGAACATCTTTAAACATTTCTTGTAGGACATGTCCGGTGGCAGTGGACCCCCTCAATTTTTGCTTGCCTGAAAAAAGTCTTTATTTCCCTTTCATTTTTGAAGGATAATTTTGTGGGATTTCGAATTCTAGGTTGGTGGGGTTTTGCCTCTCTACGCTCTAAATATTTCACTTCACTCTTCTTACTTGTGGGTTTTTTGATGAGATGTCGGCCGTAATTCTTATCCTTGTTCTTCGAGATGTAAGGATTTTTTTTTTTCATTCAAACTTAAGATTTCTCTTTGTCTTTGGCTTTCTGCAGTTTGAATGTGAATGTGATATGCCTATGTACAGACTTTTTTTGGTGTTTATCTAGCTGGTGTTCTCTGAGCTTCCTAGACCTGTTGTTTTATGTCTTATTAATTTTGGAAAATTCTCGGCTACAAGTTCTTCAAACATTTCTCCTCCTTCAGTCTCTTTATTCTTTTTCTGGTATTCTAGTTAGGGACAAGTTGCACTTTCTGAAATTAATCCACATGCGTTGGATGATCTGTTCCATTTTATTCATTCTTTTTTTTCTTTTTGAATTTCAGTTTGGGAAGTTTTCTATTGACAAATCAAACTCACTGATTCTTTTCTCTGTTATTTTCCTTTAATGCCTTTTTTTTTTTAATTTATTTTTGAAAGAGAGTGAGCGAGTGGAGGAGAGGCAGAGAGAGACACGGAATCTGAAGCACGCTCCAGGCTCTGAGCTGTCAGCACAGAGCCTGATGTGGGGCTCGAACCCACAGACCGCGAGATCATGACCCGAGCTGAAGTCAGATGCTCAACTGACTGAGCCACCCAGGCGCCCCTCTTTTCTCTGTTATATCCAGTCTACTAATAAACACACCATGAGCATTCTGCATTTCTGTTTCAGGGCTTTGAATTCTAGCAGTTAATTTTGATTCTTAGAGCTCCCATCTTTCTGCTCACATTTTCCATCTGCTATTGCATGTTACCTACTTTTTCCATTCCAGCTCAGGCCACAGCAATCATACTTATTTTAAATTCCCTGCCTGATCCAAACCTTGTGTCGTATCTGAGTCTTGTCCTGATGCTCATACTGTCTCTGGGTTTTGCTTTTTTTTTTTTTTTTGCCTGTCAGCATGTCTGGAAATTTTTCTGTTGAAGGCCGGACGTTATGTATCAGGTAATAAGACCTAAGTTATAAGGCTTTACAATGCGTTTTTTTTCATGTTAATTTAAGAAATTGGGCTGCGTTTACTGTAACTGTAGGTGCTAATGGCTTCAGACTCCTCTAGTGTCCGTGTTTTTGTCTCCCCTGTTGATTTTGTGACCCCTTAAGAACTACTCCGTAGCCTGCAGCCTGCAGTTTTTTATTTTCTAAGAAAAGAATCAAAAGGAAATGCGAGGAATCAAAGACATTGTAACAGCAGTCCACTATTATGATACCGGAGCAGTGTCGGTGTGGTGATAAGGTGTGGGGGGGCAGAGACGCATTCTTTAATCTCTGGATTAAATCCTAGCATTTCTGTCGGTCTCTGGGCTGTGACCTTCACAAATGTTTCTTATCTTCCCTCCTTAAGTGAGAAGTCTGCTGGTGGGTAGAGCGGCCGAGATGCCCTTCCCCAGTGGAGATAATGCTCTGGGGAAGTCTATTCCACAGAGTTCTCCTTTGTCATGGAGAATGCTCTGGGCCATTTACAAGGGCTATTCTTTCTCTCCACTAGAGTCAGAGGGGATCTTTCCTGGCTCTTCATCATGAGAAGGTGATGGGACTCCTGAGGTAAAATGTAGGGAGGTTTTAGGGGGCACCTGGGTGGCTCAGTGGGTTAAGCATCCAACTTTGGCTCAGGTCATGATCTCTCAGTCCGTGAGTTCAAGCCCCACATTGGGCTCTGTGCTGACAGCTCAGAGCCTGGAGCCTGCTTCCGATTCTGTGTCTCCCTCTCTCTCTCTCTCTGCCCCTCCCCTGCTTGCGTTCTGTCTCTCTCTCAAAAATAAATAAACATTATTATTTTTTTTTTTAATGTAGGAAAGTCTTCGGTAAAATGTAGGAAAGGCCCCTTTTAGACTGGGCCTCAGGGGTTTCCAACCCTCAAGCTAATTCATCTGCAGCCTTTAGCAGTGGATCAAACTTGCAAGTTAAGTCTTCCTACTAGTTTATAGCTCCACCAACTTTTGTTCGTTTTAAGCAGGTATTGGTGATGACTCTGAGTACAACTTGCCTCTCCACACTCTGCGTGGCCCTTCATCCACCCTGTAACTTCAACTCTCTGATGTATCCAAGAAAAGCTGTGGCTTTTCAGTGTGTTCAGCCTTTTCTTATTGTGAACCCAGGAATGTCAACTTTCAAGCTCTTTGCATGCTGGAACCGAAACCAGAAGGTCTCCAGATACTTAATTTTCATTTTTCCATGCTAAATTCAAGAAGAAGATGCTGTGAATGTGACATAATATTCCCACAGTCGAGATTTATTCCCAAGTATAGGTAGAGATATTTTCAATTCGCTCTCGTGCCATATCCAAAAAGAAACATAAATATATCGTATCATATCAGAATGCACCGTTTTAGGCCAAGAATTTCATGCTCCCAGTGATTTGTTGATGTGACCGTCACATTTAGACTGCCACCACCATGCCAAAGGCTGTAGTGTTTTCTTTCCTCTCTTCTTTCCTCTCTGTGTTGAGTATCATTTGCTGAGGAAGTTTTTATGCGTATGCTGACAGCTCTTAGCGTCATGAAATACTTTTGTGTGTTTTGTTAAGCTTTTTCCTACCGTGATGTAAAACCTTATTGTTACATCTCTTGTTTCATTTTCCGTGAACTTGGAAACTTAAAACTCCTTGTCTCATTGCAAAACAGACCCCGGAATTTTAAGACTTGAAAGAATTGGAACTGGTAATAAGGTACAACATTTACAGAAGCACCAACGACATCCGGTGATTGAAGTAAACAATATTTTGATGCAATGTTTTTTTAATGAATGCAAAAAAATCCACGATGAATATAAAAAGTTTTAAATCACATCAAGACATCCGTGTCTTGTCTAACGATGGCAAATCCTTCGCACATGGGGCAAGCGCAGAACCAGCTCTTTGTTTTCTCCTTGCACAATTGAGACAGGTTGCAGTCTTTAGTAAGACTTTACTCAAGGTTCAGGGTTATAGAAAGTCATTTCAATGCAATGGACAACAGTTTTCTTTTAGCTCGCAATGGATACCGCGGCTGCCAGAGCCCCTCGGACAAGCGTCACCCTTGTTGGATGCCTTGACCCAACGTGCATGGAGACAGGGAGTCTCATTCTCTGCTAGAGTACCCTTGAGCTGGTCTCCTGACAGCGTCCCATCCTACCGGCAGAAAACCCACACAACGGAGCCAGCCTCCATCCACTTCCCCGCTGAGTCTTCCTCTAGATGGGTTCACATCCCAAGCCAATCTAACCCCGAATTATCAGTTTCCATTCCCTCCTGTAGAATGCACTTCTTCCTGGGGTAATTAACGTGGGAGTATCCCTTGCCTACGGGGCTCTAGATTTGTCATAGGGCCTCTGTAGGGAATTAACGTCAGAACACAAGAGTACAACATCAGAACCTGTCTCCAAACGTGGATGATTCTGTTTTAACAGCTCTGCCAACAGCAGTTCAGCAGCATAGTCTGGGCTGAATTCCATCTGGGTTGTTACTTCCCTCTTTGTGCGAGATGAAGACGGGGCTTCCCAGGGTTTTCACCAACATCACGTCTCAGCTCCTGATCGGGGGCGAACAGTTTCTCAAATGACAGAAGCAACAACACACACACGTCCATAGAAACGAGTAGCAAATCGTAGGCGTGTGCAGTTAAATTCAAGCAGAGAAATGCGATACACTGTCTACAAGTGCCCCCTTGTCTTAATTCCTCCCCCCCCCCCCCTTTCAATTATATTACACAGACCCTTCTACATCTTTAGGCGTTCCTTTTTGGTTTACGGTATCTGCTTAATCTACCCCTAGCCAAATAATCCCTTCTGGCGGTTTCCCCAGAATGGAGGCCTCGGTATATATTTAGATCTTCACTTCCTGCAATGTGTCTGCCAGTGTGATTAAGGTTTTGAAATACCACATTTTAGTTAGAGCACCACATTACAATTAACTTTGTTCTCAGGGAGCCTGGGCGTCTCAGCTGGTTGAGAGTCCAACTCTTGATTTTGGTCAGGTCACGATCCCAGGGTCATGGGATTGAGCCCCGCATCAAGCCCCATGTTGTGAGCATGGAGCCTGCTTAAGATTCTCTCTCTCTCTCTCTCTCTCTCTCTCTCTCTCTTTCCTTTCTCTCTCTCCCTCTCTAAAAAAACCAAAAAAACAAAAACCAAAAATAAACCCACAATTACTTTGTTCTCTCTTCTGGCAGATCAGCATCAGTCACTAATAAAGATGTCAAGATTTTGCTGGTCCTAAAAACAAGGACATATCTATAAGTGTTTTTTTTTTTTTTTAATTTTTTTTCAACGTTTATTTATTTTTGGGACAGAGAGAGACAGAGCATGAACGGGGGAGGGGCAGAGAGAGAGGGAGACACAGAATCGGAAACAGGCTCCAGGCTCCGAGCCATCAGCCCAGAGCCTGACGCGGGGCTCAAACTCCCGGACCGCGAGATCGTGACCTGGCTGAAGTCGGACGCTTAACCGACTGCGCCACCCAGGCGCCCCTATAAGTGTTTGTTTTTAAAGTTGATTGTATTTAGTTTAAAGAATACTCCTTTATTCCTTGATTATTCTTTGAAAAAAAATTTTTAATGTTTATTTTTAAAAGAGAGAGAAAGAGAGACAGAGCATGGCGGGGGGCAAGGTGGGGGGAGGTAGAGAGAAGGGGAGACACAGAATCCAAAGCAGGCTCCAGGCTCTGAGCTGTCAGCATGGAGCCCAGTGTGGGGCTTGAACTCACAGACCATGAGATCATGACCTGAGCTGAAGTTGGACGCTTAACTGACTGAGCCACACAGGGGCCCCTATTCCTTGATTGTCCTTTAATAATGAATCTTTTATTAATTAAGAAATTATTTAACACTTAATCATTTATTACTGATTTCTTATTTATTCTTTTTTCCCGCTAATAAATTATTTCCTTTATTAAATTACGATAATAGTGAAGGGGAGCAGAATATACCATCCCAAAATATGCCACTTTGGCGTGATGGTTATTACACATTAAAGTTACTTCAGAAATTGTCAGTGCAAGGACACTCTGACAATCCTTTGTCCCCCTGAGAGCAGGAAGTAGATCTCCCGTCTGAAAGGTACCCACCCGCCCGCCCTGTACCAGGAGGGTAGAAGTCATTCTGATCATCAGAGGTAGACTTTAGGACTGAGAAGTCTGTGTAAGCAGACTTTGTTACTTCCTCACTAATTTACTACTCCAAGCCCAAATCCCTTTGTGTTTGTCAATTCTTCATGCATTTATTGGGGTTTTGTGTGTGTGTGTGTGTGTATCTAAAAGAATATCAACTTCCTGCTGTGGTCACTTTTTTAGTCCCATATTTTTCTGGGGCTCTCTCATGTATGAAAATTACATCTAGCTTTTTTCCTGTTAAGCTGTCTTACTTCAATTTAATGATTAGGCCATCCATCCAAAGAACCTAGAAAGGAAGAAAGGAAAAATTTTCCTTCCCTACAATATCATGTGTTGGCATTTTTAAACTCCTGACTTGGCCAAATGAAATGTCTGAAGCCATGTGTCATCCACCTGGGATTACTGGTTTGTGGGTTTGTTCACCTTGTTTGCTGTGGGCTTGGCTATGTCTCCCCACCCATTCATATGCTGACCACTAGTCCTTCAAAATAACGAGGATAGAATTTAGTCCTTCAAAATTTTAGTCTTTCAAAATAATACCTTTAAGGAGGTAGTTAAGTTAAACCGAGGTTATTAAAGTGAAACCTGACCCAATATGACTGGTGTCCTTATGAGAGATTAGGACACAGACATGCAGACATATAAAGGGAAGACTGTGCGAAGACACAGACAAGATGGCCATCCATCCGCCAAGAAGAGAGAGTCCTCAGAAGAATCCAACTCTGCTGACACACTGATCTTGGACTTCCAGCCTCCAGAACTGTAAATTAAATTTTTATGATACGAGAAGATAGGACTCATTAGGCAGAGAAGGAAGGGTTAGGACCTGAGGTCCCTGGGTGGGAAAAAACACACACTTGGGAACAAGGCTGGGAGGGTCTGACCACAGCAAACCCCCTCCCGTGTAAGGTTCCTCTGAAGAATGTAACAGACTCCACCTACTCCCCTCAGGTTTTCCTCAGGAATTGACAAAAGACCTAAGCACGGCCATACTTTTCATACCATGAAAACAAGCCAGTCAGGAATGGACAACCCAGTACCTAAGCTATCAAGCCAACAAGGGTAGAACCTGAGAAGCAACAAGGGGGAAGGGAAGGGAAGGCCGACAAGAACCTTCTAAAACAAGGACCCTCCCCTATAGGCCTCAGACGTTCCCTTTCCAACGTCCCCTCTCTGTAAGGAGAACTTTCCTACTATTCTTCCTTTCTAATCTTATATTCTAATAAGCTTTTGCCTGCTGCTCATTTTGTGTCCACCTCTTCATTCTTTGAAGCGGTGAGGCAACGAATCCCTGGTATTGTGGTAAAAAAAAATCCTGCATCATTTCTGTTGTTGATACCACCCAATCTGTGGTACTTTATTAACGCAGCCCTAGCAAAATGAGATATTATTGTTTGTATTGTTTTTGTAATTTTATCCTACCATGAAATGTCAATCCTAGAGTCATTTCAATTTATTATGGGGCAGTTTGGTAAGGGTATCACAAATGCTTCTTTTATACTGCTAGCACAAACAGACATTTAATCAAAATTTGTTGAAACCTAGAGATACAGAGGAAATTCCCAGAAAGATCACTGGGAAATTCTGGATTAAGAAAATAGTTCACCTGACTTCGGCTCAGGTCATGATCTCACAGCTCGTGGGTTCGAGCCCGCGTGAGGCTCTGTGCTGACAGCTCAGAGCCAAGAGCCTGCTTCGGATTTTGTGTCTCCCTCTCTCTCTGCCCCTCCCCTGCTCACGATCCGTGTGTCTCTGTCTCTTAAAAATAAATCAACATTAAAAAAAAAAAAAATACTTAAACACAGTTCCAACAGACAAATTGGCAACTGTCTGGCTACGAATACTAAACCCAAACTTGAACAACGAGATTCATTTGGACCAAATTTGCTTTACAAGGACGATTTTCTTTCCAGATTTTATTCTGTGAAGAGGAATCATCATTTCCTCTCATCTCTTGCCCATTCTCCACTTCACCTTTGTCATTATGACTGTCCTTCTTCCTTGGATTTTTCTCTCCTCCTCCATGTGATTAAGTTACTTCAGAGATCTTTTCTAGGAACAAACTGTGTGTTCCTAGTATAACAGGAAAAGATAGGATTCAGTAGGCACAGAGGGAAAGATTTGGACCCGCGTTCCCTGGGTGGGAAAAAGGACACATTTGGGAACAATGCTGGGAGGGCCTGACAACAGCAAACCCCCTCTGGTGTAAGTTGCCTCTTAAGAATGTAACAGACCCCACAAACTCCCCCTCAGGTTTCCCTCAGGAAAGTGACAAAAGACCTAACTAAAAATAAGTCGTTGACCGTAAAACATGTGACCCACAAGGAACGATATGGCCACCCTTCGTGCAATGAAAATGAGCCAATCAGGAATGGACAGCTCAGCACTTAGAGTTATCCAGTCGATAAGGGTAAAACCTGAGAAGGAACAAGAGGGGAGGGAAGGTGGGGGGAGGGGGCAACCAGAACCTTATAAAACAAAGGCCCTTGCCTATAGTCCATGGGCATTCACTTTTGAATGTCCCCGCTCAGCAAAGAGAGCTTTCATACTATTCTTACTTTCTAATCTTACTCAATGACACTTTTTCCTGCTGCTTGTTTTACTTTGTGTCTAGCTCTTTATTCTCTGAAACAGCAAGACAACGAATCCCGGGTATTGAGGTAAAAAAATCTGACACTACTAGGAATCCCATTCAAGGTCCACATGTTAGAGTAGGCAGTTTAGGTTCTATGAGGATACCTGGAGGCCAGCAAAGGGGGAGTCACAGCCAGCTATGGGGAAAGTCACAGGCCTGTCCTGGTGGCACTCCACAGGAAGCCAATCACACCAGAGGGGCCTAAGATAGCGCCTGCCATGACAGGAAATCCCTGACCAAATAAGGAAGAACAGGCAGGAAACTCCGTTTCCAAGAAATGTCCACCTTGTGTAATGAATATTTCACCTCCTAGCTAACTGTTAGAAGATAAAAACCCAAACCCCGGGGCGCACAGCTCGAGGGCTCTCTCCAGCTCACCCAGTCTCTTATCTCTCTTATCTCCAGAGTATACTTTTGCTTTCTTAAGCTTTCCTGTTTGTGTTGCTTATTTGCTGTGCTGTCTGTCCTGAATTCTTTCCCTTTTTTTTTAAAAATTTTTTTAACGTTTATTTATTTTTGAGAGAGAGACACACACAGAGTGCAAGCGGGGGAGAACCAGAGAGAGAGAGGGAGACACAGAATCCGAAGCAGGCTCCAGGCTCTGAGCTGTCAGCACAGAGCCTGATGTGGGGCTCAAACGCATGAACTGTGACATCATGACCTGAGCCAAAGTCGGACGTTAAACCGACTGAGCCATCCAGGCGCGCCTGGAATTCTTTCTTTTGACAGAATTCAAAAGAATTCTTCAAAAGAATTCTTTCTTTTGACACCAAGAACCTTCCACAACATTTTTTGGGCTGAGCAGAGTCAAGGCCCTGGGGCCTAGAGTCTCCCTAGTTCACCAGCAATACGCTTGTAATCAAGTCCTAGTCAAGGGCATGAAAACCCTAGTCACCTCTGTGGCTTTCAATCCATGTCATTGTTTCAGTGCCTGTTTTGTTTTTTGTTTTTTGTGTTTTTTTAATTAATTATTTATTTATTTATTATTTTTATTTATTTTATTTTTATTTAATGATTTATTTTTATTATTTAATCTTACCCACGGACCGCTAGATCATGAGCTGAAGTCAGATGCTTAACCAACTAAGCCACCCAGGCGCCCCTCAGTGCCTGTTTTTAGAATACCTATGAGGGATTTAAGACACTGATTTTCTCCCATCTCTGCATCTGAGGACAGAGTGCCTTCCACATAAATCCCTGCCCCAGGCCTTCCCCTGAGGGCTATGACTTTACCAACAGAGGGCTTCAGCAGGCAAAGCTGTGGATGACAAGGAAGGGCCACACCATCCCGACTTTCTCCAGCAGGATTCCACATACATGCTGCGCTCCCCGATCGTCATTATTACTGATTCATAAGATTTAAAACAGGAAAAGCGATTCTTAGTTGATGTGTTTAGTTCTGGCTTTAGTACCAGTGACATCTCACAGTCTTACCTTGAATTTCCTTCAGCTTTGCAAAAACCATGGTCTTCACTGGGGTGGAGTGAATTGAATCTTTTTTTTTTTTTCTTTTCCAAATTGAATCTTAAGCAGGTTCAGTTTCCTACTTTTGGACAGAAAGAAAACAATAACCCCAAACTTTTAAAAACCACACACACACACAAGAATAGCTATTCTTGTAAACAAGGCAAGATGCAACTTATTGTTGTCTTAATTGGAAAAACCACCTTTCACATCAAGCATGACAACAGGAAATGGTCTAAAATGAGAATCTCCTTGAAAATCAAGGTCCTGTAAAGGCAGGTTTCGTCACGGAAAACAATCGTGTGACCTCAGCTCCCGCACTTTCCACTTGCGAATATCACAATATGCTCTGTGGGGAGTGTTAATGGATACATCTGTTTGCCTCCCTGCACAGCTGAATCGTGTCTGAAAACAGACATGTTTTTCCCATTTCAGAAAAATACCCAGTGAATGCTCGCTGATGAACGGTGGTGAGTTATGTAAGTTCCTTTACCTTGCCACTTAACACTGACACTGAGAGATGCAGGTGCCCCCAAACAGCTGCTCGAACTTAAGGACCTATTACTTACTTTGGAGCCATAAAGGGCCCGAACTTCTGTTGATTTTCAGACACTCGGAATCATTAGCACTCCTTTTTTTTTTTTTTTAATTTTTTTCAACGTTTATTTATTTTTGGGACAGAGAGAGACAGAGCATGAACGGGGGACGGGCAGAGAGAGAGGGAGACACAGAATGGGAAACAGGCTCCAGGCTCTGAGCCATCAGCCCAGAGCCCGACGCGGGGCTCGAACTCACAGACCGCGAGATCGTGACCTGGCTGAAGTCGGACGCTTAACCGACTGCGCCACCCAGGCGCCCCTAGCACTCCTTTTAATAAACAAGGCTGTGCTGGCTTCCGACTTCCTTGGTTATCTGTCCTGTGGTCCTGAGGGGGACGGAGACACTATCCCAGACCATTGCCAGAAATACAGCCTAAGGGGTCCATTTCCTTCTTTCTAAAGAGCATAGAAGCCGCAGTAAAGGGTGTAACCTGCTACCTCAATGCTTCTCTGCTTCTGTGGCAAAGATTTACCTGCTCGGTCATCACAAAGAGAAGCCGGTTCAGCAGCTTCTGAACTCATTACAGCTTTGTTTCTTATTTGCTGACTCAGATAAGATCAGACCAATGCGTCCCAAGAACTGGATTCTGATGTTTTGCCCCTCTCCCCATCCTCATTTTAGCAAATTTGCCAAAATATACGCCTCCCCTTGGTTCAGTCACATTATTAGGTTTGTATTCTCTCCTCTCTACTGCTTTTACGCCAGATGTTTCAGATACCTTTGCCACAGTGACATCAACTGGAAATAGTTGGAACTGGACCCTCTAAGCATCACAGAAACCTCCAAATTCATATTTTTTCCTATCTTACTTAGAAATACTACTCACAAAAAAGTACTTCTCAAATAATCTCCGTATAAGTATCACAAAAAGAATCCCCGCTGTTTTTCAAAAAAGGACTTTTCAAATTCCAATGTAAATAATAAAAATTATTTTTTATTACTATAAAAACGACCATGAGAACTAACTAGTCCATATTTTTGGCTCGCACCTTGAAAAAACATGCTAGCGATAATGAGTGATTTTCTTTTATTTTTTAAATGTTTATTTTTTTAATTTTGAGATAGAGAGAGCACAAGCAGGGGAGGGGTAGAGAGGAAGGAAGAGAGAATCCCCAGCAGGTTCTGGGCTGTCAGCGCAGAGCCTGAGTTCACAAAACCGGGAGATCATGACCTAAGCAGAGATCAAGAGTTGGACGCTTAACTGACTGACTCACCCAAGATGACTGATTTTTTTTTTTTAAATATAATTTGTTGTCAAATTGGCTTCCATACAACACCCAGTGCTCATCCCAACAGGTGCCCTCCTCAGTGCCCCCAAGATGAGTGAGTCTTAAGCTGACCCTCACATTTTAAAAAAAGCAGAATTATACAAATTAGATGGCAATTAATACTTTTGGATAACTTTATGTAATAGTCATTTATTATTAGGCAAACGTAATTTTGAAATCAGATTATAATAAAGTATCAACAATGCAAGAGAGCTACCAATATACATACATCTTGGGTCTTCTTGGTCTCCCAGGAATCTGCAACACAACTAGATAAAATCATTTACAGTGCAACTGGATAAAACCCACAAAATATAGGCTCTGTTAAGTGCCATAAAAGAATGCTAAAGTAATTTCTTTTTTTTTAGTGCTTGTTCATTTTTGAGAGTGAGAGCCTGAGTGGGGGAGGGGCAGAGAACGGGGAACAGAGGATCCAAAGCGGGCTCTGAGCTGACAGCAGTGAGCTGATGTGGGGCTGGAACTCACCAACCCTGAGATCATGACCTGAGCCAGAGTCAGACCCTCAACTGACAAAGCCAACCAGGAGCCCCAGAATGCTAAAAATAATTTAAAAGAAGAAAATCAATGGGAATGCAAACTGGTGCAGCCACTGTGGAAAACAGTATGGAGGTTCCTAAAAAAATTAAAAATAGAACTACCCTACGACCCAGCAATTGCACTACTAGGTATTTATCCAAGGGATACAGGTGTGCTGTTTCAAAGGGGTACATGCACCCCCATGTTTATAGCAGCGCTATCAACAGTAGCCAAAGTATGGAAAGAGCCCAAATGTCCATCGACGGATGAATGGATAAAGAAGATGTGGTGTGTAATACAATGGAGTATTACTCAGCAATCAAATAGAATGAAATCTTGCCATTTGCAACTATGTGGATGGAACTAGAAGGTATTTTGCTAAGCAAAATTAGTCAGTCAGGAAAAGACAAATATCATGTGACTGGGACAAAACAGAAGAGACTCTTAAATATGGAGAACTAACAGAGGGTTACTGGAGGGGTTGTGGGAGGGGGGATGGGGCTAAATGGGTAAGGGGCTTTAAGGAATCTACTCCTGAAATCATTGTTGCACTATATGCTAAGTAACTTAGATGTAAATTTTAAAAAAGTAAATTAAATAAAAATTTAAAAAATATTAAAAGAAGAAAATCAATTAGCATTTTTACTTGGAATTTGAGGGCTAAGGTTTTTGTTTTTTTGTTTTTGTTTTTGTTTTTAATAATGTAATGAAGCAATGCTTTATTATGTTTAATTCCTGCTGGTATCTTTTTAATTTTTTTTAATGTTTACTTATTTGAGACAGAGAGCCCAGGCGGGGAAGGGGCTGAAAGAGAGGAGGATGGAGGATCTGAAAGCAGGCTACATGCTGATACTGGCCAGCCCGGTGCAGGGCTCGAACTCACAACCGCGAGATCATGACCTGAGCTGAAGTCTGACGCTCAACCGACTGAGCCACCTGGCTGCCCCCTTACTGGTAATCTTGAACTTCATCCTGGAACGAGGCTTGCTTTTTAAGCTTTGTTTTCTGGGACCAGGGCAAACCTAAGTAGCTAGCCTGAGAACTCCATTCCGTGCCTCCTGGATGAATTGAATTCCACCTCTATCTGGTGGAAGCACGTATGGCTGTATGTGAGCTCCTGTCGGGGGGCTCTCTCCTGGCCGTGGGGAGTCCCACGTATAGGAGCCCTGCCATTGTGCTCTGCACACTCCAGCTGCCTCGGCTTCCCGCTCTTCTCTCTCTGGGCTCCATGTCCCCCCACTGCGAGCTGCACGCTGGACTCAGTCCGTGCAGTAAACCAGGCCATCATAGGGCTCATCTCATTTGAGCCCTCATCTCATTTCCTTCCCTGAGGATCCTGGTTCGGTGCTGCCTGGTTTTCAATGTCTGAAAAAGGTTTTACGTTCCCCCACCCCCTGGTTTTGCATATGTTTATGGAGGGAAGATGGATCCAGTCCCGTGTCTTAGTCCATTCGGGCCGCCATAACAAAGTACCTCAGACTGGGTGGCTTCTAAACAACAAAAATTCATTCCTGAAGTTCTGGAGGCTGTAATTCCAAGATCAGGTGCCAGCAGGGCAGGGGGAGGGCCCTCTTCTAGGCTGTCTTCACGTGCTGGAGGGTCCAGCAAGCTCTCTCTCAGGCCTCAGGTAGGTTATTAATCTCATTCATGGGGGCTCCTCCCTCATGACCTTCACCTCCTCATCTCATCACCTTGGGTCGTAGGATTTCAACACGTGAATTTCGGGAGGACGCAGACATTCAGACCATAGTACCTCTTACTCCATTTTGACCATGATTGAAAGTGTGAGTACAGTAATATAGTTTTAATGTAGAAAATTTGGAATATACAAATTTTTAAAAGTCCTAATTCTCTCACCTAGAGATAACAAATGTTTGTATTTTAGTGAATTACTTAAACGTCATACACAGATATACTCAAATGTAGACACACACAAACACAATGTGAGCTGGGAGGCTTTCCGCTCTTGAAGATTCAGTTACGTTTCTTGGTGGATCTGGTGCCTCCAAATGTACCTATTCAGTCCATTTGCACTGGAGACAGAATTGTGCAGGTGCAAGCAGGCGATAGTGAAGGGTATGTAGCAAGGCCAACATCTTAGAATTCCACATTTGGAATCCATCTTGCTAAGAGATTCTGCAACTCAACCTTCACAGACACCACACTCAGCTTTCCTCTTCTTCCTTATTTTCTGGGTCAACAGGAACAAAATTTTATCTTTTTTTCTTTTCTTTTTTTTTTTTTTTTTCATTTTTTTTAGAGAGAGGGAGCTCGAGTGGGGGAAAGGAGCAGAGGGAGAAAGAGAGAGAATCTTAAGCAGGCTGCACGCTCAGCACAGAGCCCGAAGAGGGTCTCGATCTTACAACCCTGAGATCATGAGCCGAAATTAAGAGTCGGAGGCTCAACCGACTGAGCCACCTAGGCTCCCTCCCAAATTTTATCCTCTTATGTGGAACAGTTCAGCTCTCCTCAAACCCTACTTGTAGGCTCAGTTCTAGGCTTTCTTTCACATGTCCAAAGTCATGAAGATTCTGAAGAGAGTAAAAAGGTCTGGTGAGGAACAATATCCACATTTCTTAAAAGTTAGCTGCAGTGTAAATATCACATATACGTAAATGTACATGATTTACATATATAGCTGACCCTTGAATAATGTGGGTTGGGGGCGCCTGGGT